TCTTTCCTGCCTATGCAGGGGGTCGGACTCGATGATCTATTGAGGTCCCTTCCAACCCTAACATCTATGAATCTATAAGGTCCCTTCCGACCCTACTTCTATGAATAATGAAGTAGACCAAGTCAACATGAACAATGTAAAAAGACCTTTCAGTTTGTGGAGTTTCTTTCAAAACCAAGAAGTTCAAGAACTGCAAACGATTAAGCTCTCCCCAGAAAGAAACTGGGATTTGGGAGATAGAGATTTAAAAAACAGCTAAAGTAAGGAGAAAAAATTACTTTTGCCATATATGAATGTGTTGTGATGTGGTACCTGTTCCATGGCACCACTTTTGCTTCCTGATTATTTTCCCATTAGCTTGTCTAAAACAAAACAACTAAGAACGAATTAATATTAATTAACGGAAAGAAAAACTTCACAGCAGTGTCACCAAAACAGGACTTGGACAATAGAGGAATAATTGACCATTGCTTCTTAAATGTGTACGCTCTGATTGTAAGTGAGAGTGCTCTTGGTCTGGGGGATGGATAAGACTGAATGTTGTTACTATTAGGCAAACTAGGGCATTTAATGGAATACTACTTTGCACAAGCACAGGAGCTGTCAGTACAGACATGACTTTTAAATAAGTTGCTATTTTCACAGGCACAAGCCCTTAAACAGCTCTTTTACAGACCAGCTCTGAAACAAAGTTTGGACTGACAGAAGCGGATAAAATGTATAACTACCCATAAATTAGTTAAAAAAGTTAATGATTCATCTGAAATTATAAAAATGAGGAGAAAAATACCTGATAGGTTCACGTTATATTAAACATGAAAGCAAAAATATAAAAAGGGTATAAAATAAGTTGCATTAAATTGTTTCCAAGACACACATGTTTGCATTGTTTACTCTTCTCAGTACTTTGTGTCTAAAGAGTACAAAGCCCTCACAATACATGCTTTCCTCTTTCTTACATTATCTAGATCCTGATTTCTCTTTAACGATCTAGGAGCCTTGCTTAATTCCAGTATCATGTTATACACCTTACCTTATTCTTGCTGCTCTCACATGACTGTAGACTGGCCAGTATCTGACTCTCTATGGCTTGCACCCATGCATCTCTTTCTTCATATGTGGTTGCTTCAAAGTGCCAAGTCTGGCCAGTGAGGGACACAATGATAAACTCAAAGTTTTCCTCTTGTTCTGAAAAAGAGGTGGAAGAGCACTTTTAATTAAAGCAGCAATTAGCCATTAATACCGCCTTTTATTAGAACAGCATCTATACGGTTCTACGAGCCAATGTAGGTTTGAATATACATCCAAATGCTCACAAAAAAGCAATCTTTGTCAGAATATGCCTCAAGAAAACCCTTGTTTTGATTGTTTCTGACTTCATAGTATCACTTCATGCACTTGAAGTATATACTAATTCAGGGAAATATGCACATTTTACAGAAAATATTTCTTTATTTCTCCAGTTTTCAGAGTAAGTAAGGCTTGAGGACCTATCTAATGTAAGTTTTTCCTATTTATCAAAGTATCCTTCTGGGTAAATATTCCACAGAATAAAAAAAATGACAGCACAAATGGTCCAGTATAATTTCCCATAGTTCTTCAGTGTTTTGTATATACACTGCATGATACATTAATTTAAGAGTGTTTATTGTATGTAGGAGCTCAAATATATTGCATTGCAACACAAAATGAACATTAGTTCAAAATTTTCTGCTCATGAGTTTTTAGCAACTAGAAGAACAGGGAAAATAACATGAGAAGCTAGTGAAAGGGGGTCAATGAATTATGTTCCTATAGCCTTTGAAAAAAAACAACAACTTGGCCCAAGGAACACAATTTAAGGAAGTATCAGCAGAATTGTAGGAAAAGGAACTCTGATTTCAAATACACTTGGTACACCAAAGTCAAATATAAAAGAAAGTTCAAAGAAGCTGAAATAGAGATAATCAAGTTGGTAAAGAAAGAACAGAATAATAAGACTATACAGTTTGGCTGAACATCAAATATAATAGCTTTTAGTTATAAAAGCACTTGCCTGCTAATGACTTATACATTTAGAACCATGGAACACTTGCATTATTTCGTCATCCATAAACATGTAACAGTAAATGATAAAATCTTAAGTCTATTTAAATGCAGCAGTCTTGCTCACTGGGAGTCATTCTTTTGACCTATGGGACAAACACTTTTCCCTATTAAACCTGAATTCCAATTTTCAGGCAAACGATTTTCCTGATACAAAATGGCAGAAATTCATCAGAGCTCTGTTGACTAAAAACTCCTGATATTTTGGTGTTTTATTGAACTTTTAAAGATGTTTACATCCATTCTCAAAGAAACTACCTGGCCCGGACAGGTCAGGCAGAACTAGGCTCAAAAAAGAAACCTCCCAAACACTGGACAAGAAGATGCCTTCTCTAGCTTAAGTCAATTCTGAGGTACAACCTGGAAATGGACATGGGAAGGAAATGCAAATACAGAGGGTTAATTTTATTTTGTGGTAAATCGGGATGCCTCAAGTTGTCCCTTTAAATAAAACATGGAAAACACTGGCTTCCTGCAAAGGCTTTAGAAAGCCATGCCTTGTTGCCAATCTTGTTTCTGTAACAAGCCACATCAGTGAATTATGAAGGGCCCCAACTTTGTGATTCACTGGTTAGACATCAAGATATTACTAAGTGCCTTTAAGAATGAGCTTGACAAATTTATTAAACATATTATCTTATGTGGCTATTTGTGATACCAAGATACTGGATTTGATGATCCAGATATTCCTTCTGGGCTCACACGCTGTACAGTGCCCTCGACATGTTACATCTGTTGCAGGATATATGCGATTATTCTGTAACGTGCCATGTGTTGAAGGAATTTGTTCTAAAAAACACTGGTGGATCTGCCACAAAGAAGTTGTTGTTTAAATAGCAACTTCTTTGTCATGCTGCGACAAACTAGATGTGTGGCCAAGGAGAGAAACCTCCACAATCCCACAGTGCTCTCCTCTTCCTCCCTCCTTCTCAGGGGACAGAGGGAGAGCAGCTAGCTCCCTGACAGCCCACCCAGGGGCATGCTATCATGGAGGTCTGCAAGTTGCCCTGTCCTGGCTGCCACTTTGAGCTGCTGGCAGGAGCTGCCCAGGAAGAAAAACGAGCACTCCATGCTCTGTTGGGCTGCTTGCTTGGGGCACCAACAGCTGAAATGCTAGTTATTGGCATTCTCAGTTCCCGGGCTGCAGTCACACTTCAAATGTC